AGAACCACACTCCATAGGGTTTTTAAGCCTGTGACCTTTCAGAAGCAGATCGCCAGGCCTTACTTCTGAGGGGTCTCTGGGTGGGTTTGAACTGCCAACCTTTCGGTTAGTAGTCGAGAGCTTAACCATTTGTGCCACCCCGGGACTGGCTAATATACTTGCGGTGTGCTTTTGTGTAGCTGTTCTTGCCAGGTCTTGTAAATCCTACCCAGGTGACTGGGTGGGACTGTGCAAATAGGGTAATTGTGGTCCACCAAGGGGATTGGTCAGTTTTGCCGTCCAGCTGGGCTTGAAGTGAGCCATCTCAGAGGCAGATAAGAGAGGATCCCACCACAACCAAGGAAGAACAGCCAGGAGCGGAGAGTGCATCCTTTGGACCCGGAATCCCTGTGCTGAGGAGCTTCGGGAACCAGGACACTGAAAGACAGAGAGCTACAACCCAGAAGCATCGAGAAGCGGTGGCAGAGAAACGATGGCAGGATAGAGACCTGCAGGAGATGGCGTGGTAGGCTTCCCGGCCCACGATGAAGTGAGAATAATTGCCTTTGGGCAGGAGGCTTGCTGGCAGAGTAGGGTGCCTCTGGGCACTTGGTGGAGCTAGGTTTGCTGACCCACAGGGCTAGAACTGACAGCCTTTGAGCCGAGGCTTACTGGTTGAATGGGGTGCCTCTGGGCACTTATCTGCAGAGCTAAAAGAGCTTTGCAACACTTGCCCGAGCAGGACAGAGGCTGAGGGGCCAGAGAGTGGTGTGCCTGTGGCACGGCTGGGAAGAGGCTGTCCTGACGGAAGAACTGTATCCTGAGTGTTCCTAAGCCTGAATTGTAACCTGTTACCTCCCTAATAAACCCCATAATCGTGAGAACTGTCTGTGAATTATTGAACCCAGCAGAGAAATAGTGCTGTGGGAGGGATGGTTGGTGTCAGAATTGGTAAAGATGGCAGAGAGGAGGCATGTCTGACCTCCGCCTCACAGGGATCAGCCTTGGGCTTTTGATTTTGATTTCGTCCCCCTTGTGAAGTTAGAGGAGGTCAAGCACTGCCCTCACACCATTTTTACAATACTGCATTATAAATTAGTAAATATGGACTCTATATAAGTCACTCTCTTATGAATTTGTGTTGATTAGCATTCCCAAACTTGATCATCTTTAGAATACTTAGGGGGCTAGATCCTAAAGTATGACAGGTTCATCAGGGTCATACCATCCTGAAAAAGTCTGTAACTGGCTAAGTCCCTCTGCATTACTGTGGCTCTAATAAACAGAATTATTAATATAACTGTTACTTATTTAACCAATATGGGAAAACCAAAGTATCTGAAATGATTTTTCAGTTTTAATATGAATTTACATTGTTTCCTTAGATAAAAGTTCCTCAAACGCTTATACCTCAAGTATAAATAAGTTCCAGATGATCTGCATGTTCCCTTTCAGCTGTAAAATTTGACGGATTCTATTTTTTAGACCACCAATGTTCTTTCAACCTCTTTGACACTGTGTTCAGGTTCTCATATAAGCAACTTCTCGTGTGTTTTCTCATTTGTAAATGCCTCTGTGACCTTCCTTGGTAGTATTCTGACAAATAATGTTTAAATAGATCCTGAAACTCCTGTTGTTCTAGATTGAATAATTAAATCTATCTTCATGTTCTCTTTAACAACCATAATATCATATGCATATGATGATTTGGCACATGGATTTTCTTCTGAAAATATATAATTTGTTAAAATATTTGAGCTATATGTTAAAATTAAATAATGTAAGAAGGCACTTACTTTCAAAAAGATTTTGATATGAATATAGTGTAATTAACAGTCATTCACAATATTTATGCAGTCATCCTCTACTCTTTCAATCTCTGCAAAGTAATAATTGAACCACCTTTGAATAAATACAACTTACAGAAAATATACAAAACACTATGCTATGTAGGTAAAGATTTTACAAAAGTTGAGTAGACTGTCAAAATCATTCTAGTAAGTTCAGCAGTGAATAAAGTATTAGTAAAATATCATTCACAATAAAAAAAATGTTTTACATTGTTTGATCTCCAATTCTTATCAAATGGATGATGTGATGTTATATGTTGAGAAAATATGAGTTCCAGTATTATTGTGTGAAACAAGCACATTTATTTGAAGCTGATATGGTTTTATTGGACTTACTTCACAAAAGCAAGGTGGTCTGAATTGAACCTGTAATTAACCTGGCTTTGATTGTCCAGTGACTGAGAAATCTCACCAGATGAATTAATGCAGGAAGTTTTCAGTTCTAGTGAAGTTTCTTCAGTAAAAGTGTAGTAAAGTGCAAAGATGGTGCTGGGCTAAAGTTTAATGTTCATTTCTGTTGTCTTGTTATTCTTGATCTAGAGACAAAAGTACAAGCAAGAATCTGGAACAGAGTTTGGCTTCTGTCTTATTATGGCTTAGGTTCTATTAACCTTAACAAAAACAGAAGGATTATGTCAATATTTAGACAGCCAAAATATGATGAATAAAAGATCTTAATTAAGAAAGAAAATAAAGGTTAAAAAAAACAAAACTAAATGTGTTATTTGGTTAACCACAAATGGAGATTTACAGCTATGATCATTTGCTAGGAGAAAAAAATTAACATTTTTTTGAGGTGGTTTTTAAATGAAAGGCTAAATATCTGCTGTTATATATGACAAAAACTGGTCAATGAATATAACATTTATCTTGCGAACATAGGACTACATACAAAATTGTGCCATAAGAGAGAAGCAGTGATTAATTTGCTACTTAACAAATACTATATTCAATTCCTTGCCTACTCTAATAACTTAGCCAGGGCTAAGTTTCAATCAGACACTACAAATTGGGAATTACAAATCCAGTAAAGAAAGTATTATCATTTTTTTTATTTGATCCAAACTCATTTTCATATACAAAGCTAGTATTATGTACAAAATAAATGTACATTCTTAAAAACTGCTGGAATACAAATTTCCAAGGGATTAAGAAAAAGTGCAAAATTTTCAATTATTATTTTCAATCATGCTATACAGAAACAAACATTAGCTCATATACACACATTGAAAATTATTAAAACAGCACTCAATGCAACAAATAAAATAAAACATACATCTTATATAATTAATTTTAAAAGGATGAGGAAGGAAAGAATGTATTGCACCAAACTTAACAGTAACTTCATGATAATGAGAACGATAATCAAAATTCGGTATACTCATACCTTTATTAAACCTAAACCTTGCTCGACTTTAAAAACCTTTTGGCATACAAATATCCACTGAGTCACAGTTTGTACATTATTAATTAGATATAAATATTCTCTTTTTCATAGTCAATTCCAGTAGAATGAGAAGGAACATCTTAAAATAACTACACAACTTTTTGAATTCCTTAAATATTTAAGTAGCAGCACAATTTCCAAGTACTTTTTTAAAAACAGTCATTCTGAATTTCCAACTTTCCCCCGTTGAATTGACTATGTGCGTATACACGCGTTCAAGTTACTGTCACCCTCTATGATAGAAATGCTCTCATGGCAGAAATACTTCTATTCAATATGGGTCCCAGAAAAACTGACAAAAGAGACAAATTAAATGTTTGGTATTTTTCTGCCTTAACGGATTCACTGCTATAGCAATGATTCTGATACAAAATGGATGTCTGGCCAGGTCTCCTGATTACTTTTTGTGTTTTTTTTTTTTTTTACCCGAAGTCTATAAACGCACGCATTTGGAGGCAAGAAAGCCATACTGTTAAGAGTTTCTGAGGAAAACAGAGCAGGTACATGGTGTTCTAACAACTATTTTTCCTTTTTTTGTAAAGCTAACTATAAGGTAAGCAGTAGCCACAAAAAATTTTTGTGATAGTGTTTATGAATCAGTTTTTGAGAGTAGTAAAAGCAGAATAGGAAAAAAAATCTAAAATGCAAAAGATCTAACAGTAATATCTACTTTAATATGACAATTTTGGAAGGAGTATAGAAACTGTAAGTCACTAAAAAGTTACCTAGGAACAGCAATTAAAATTCCAAAGAAAAAAATAGTTTTCAATTCCTACATAAGAAACTAAGAGGCTGAAATTTTTTCAGTTAATTTGAGCATTGATTATCTCCCTACTAGAATTACTTTTCGAAGTGTTTATTGATGGATTTAAGTAATTTTAGCATTTTGAAGAGCAAAATAATTGTCCATCAGACAAGAGCTTTTTTCCCTTTAAAATGCACAAGAGTAGTGTTTATGAATTTGTAGGTTAAGCCCATGACTAAATCATAAAATATACTGCTTAGATAGTATGGAAAAATGTTTCCAAAAGAAGGAACAAAGATAGCACTCACCATAAGCTGGGACTGCCTTGACGTCAGCTAACAACACTGACTACAAAAGAACCTCTAGTTGAAAGATATTACTAAAATAAAATTTAAAAAGGTCCAATTGGAATAAGACTTCTTTTTAAAAATAGTTTTTATTTTATTCAATAAAATATTTTTTTATTTTTTAATGTAAGTCCTAACTTATTTTCTGATTTTCAAATTACAATGCTTTGAAAATTACAATCATTTTTCACACTCAAAAAGTTATAAATAAATTTTAAATGAAACAGCCATCTTATAAGTGGAATGGAAACACACACACACACACACACAACTCCACTACTAGCCAACTTTGGAATATGAATGGGCAATTGTTTAAGTGACAAAATTATGTTGTCATTTTATTACAAAATTGTGTGGTGCTGTTATATTTGCACAAGAAGTTTCCAAGGAAACATATTAAAAGTGTACCATGGAAAACAAATGTTGAATTAATGACTTTTTGTTTTTTTTTCCATCTGAATTTCCAGGTCATAATAAGGTTATGAGCATTAATACAAAGGTAAATACTGTTGTATCTCTGTCCTTTGCTTATCACTAAAGTCACTAACTTTATAGGTTCAAATCCTCCAATGTGTCTCGAAATCACTCACCTATGACAAATGTCAGTGAGATAATCGAAGAAGCTGTGTTTGAAAAATTACCACAATCTACCAAAAAAAATATAGCCATTTTTACACAAGGTTCTTATACTGTGGAAAATCCATAACTCCTATATTCTAAGATGGCCTTATATTTTTAACTTAGTAAAATGAATCATTTCCAGTTTAGGCCTGAATAACTTAAATGTTAATGCGTTACTCCCTGTAATAGTAGGTCTTTTTGTAATATTTCCATACAGAGGCTATACATACAAAAGTCATCAGAAATATTTGGAGAATTTTTTCCAATGCTTTTTAATTAGGAAACTTCTATAAATTACAAGCTTTAAGTCTACAAAAGATAAAACTTCATGTTTTAAATTTAGTATTTTGTTACTCATGCTGTTTATTAATACTCTAAAATATTACCTAATTCAAGTGTGCAAAATATTCACCGACAGTCACTAGGAACAAATACCAGCAAACAAACACCCTTTCTTGGAAGCAACTATTAAACTTTTCAAATGTAAAAGACCTGAAGAGAGTTGATAATAAGAATAATAAAACTAAAAAGGAAATTTGGTTGTTTCTGTGGCATGTAAAATGAAGATAATAAAGCCATGCTCGGCAAATTTTAGACAAAATATCTGTAAGATAATGATTAAACCTTTTTTCAAATAAGCCTGTGAATGTTATATCTGATTTATAAAAATGAATGGACATAATTTCTATAGAGGAAAATATTTTAAGATATAATAATCCTGAGACATATTTTTTTAATACCAAGAATATCACATAAAGAGATTCAGAAAGTCCCGACTAATGCCTAGACATCTGTGTATTTATAAAACTCCATGGACAAGTCTGAATGGCATGAACAACTAAGAAAATGCTAGGTTCAAATTAAAGATAGTGTGGCCAAGTAAACATTTTAAATTATATTAAAATGATGACTGATAACACTTTATTGTTGTCTAATGTCATCAGGCAAAGCACCACCAGGACTCTGATAAATACAGGAAAGCTCTATGGAGCAGTGTAATGGATGGGGCCAAAGTTTGAAACAAATCAAATGCTGAATATATATGACATATGAATTAGGCAAATAGAGAATATTGAGAATGGATATTTGTTAAGAATGGTAATGGTCTCTTACTGGGAAGAAAAAGTTTTAGTTGTTAAGATGAACAATAATTAGGACAACGTATGAGTCTGGCTGATGCAAGAAAACATACGAGATTACACTTAAAAAGACAAAGAATATATTTCATTTCTTATATGCTACTCAACAATTGTATCCTGTATCCTGAAGACAGGTTTAAGAACCTATTTATGGAAGACAGTTTTAACAATATATATGTAGAGACCAACTTTTATATACACACACACGCACTCACACATACACATATTATATTATTTAATATTTAATATAGTCCATGAACCTGCAGCTTTTCACAGGAAAGGCAGTAAAGACAATGCCACTCATTTAATAAATATAAATATATAAATAGGAGCTAACTTCTTTAAATTCAACTAAAAGATTTCCATTAGTGATTTATTTAATAATAATTATATAAAATGTATATGGCAAAGGCCATGTCTCTATCTTCACTAAATACAATCTGGTATCCAAGTTAATAATTTTCCCTGCTTACTCTTATTCAAACAAAATACAAAAGTCTTAGGTTAAGATTCAGCTTTCAAATCTATATTCTAACTATTTACGAGGGCACGCTCATTCCTTTCAGAAGCATAAAATAAATTCTCAGTACCAGTTTGTTGAAAGATAGTTTTTATATGCTCTAAATAGAGAAAAAGATGAACCCTCACTAACATTTCTTGCTAATGACAAAATGAATTGGCAGTTTTTCTACTACAAAAAGATGCGCTGTAACCTACAGGAAACTGACAAATTTCTTCATGGCTGACAGAAGCCTCAGAGGCTAAAAAGTAAGAATTTAAACAACTAGCCAAGCTTCATTTTTGCATATATTCCTTATCTCATGTTATGATCTATTTTTACTTCAATCCTCCAATTTTATGTAAGTAATGACAGAATACTGATTGAGGGAGTTGAAAAAAACTTTTTTATAAAGCTTCTTTATTCTCTAAATGAGGACAGCTATATGTTTTAATAGTTGATCTTACTTTCTAAAAATAAAATCAATATCTTACCATAAATCTCTCCCATCGCCAGTATGCTAAGATTTTTATTTCCATAATCACCAGTGTCAAGAAACAAAAGCTGGTGAAAAGTTCTGCAAAGACAAGAGACTTTATAACAGTCAAGTAGAGATACTATATTCATCAACTGAAATGTCCACCTGTTATTCCATTGCAATGATACTATTAATTTTTCTCATTATACAATATAATTTCTATGGATAACATCTAAATACATAAGACTCCCCAAAAGTGTAGGCTGTCAGTGATTTTATCTAGTGAGTTTTAATTCTGTGTGCTATACCATTTAAAAGAGGAATATATTACTCAGCTAATAGTTCTATTGTATCTACTTATTTTAAGACATAACTTTTAAGTTCCATTCTTTTAGATGGCTGTTAGTATTCTCAAAGATTTTCCTTAAAAATTCCACATTTTTGATTTTTACTTTCTTGAAGAAGTAATAAAAAGAGTAATTCTACTGTTCTGAATATCTAGTACTACCTTAGGTGGACTATCAATTCTACTGTGAACAAAACTTGTTCTTATTTGTGCTATAAAATGAATACGGTTTGTTCAGTTTCTCCACCTAAACAGCAGCACAGTAAAACAGCATACATCTAGGATTTTTTTCTCTGGTAATCTGAGTACAGTTTTTTGTGACTTATAAGCATCAAAAAATAATTTGCAAAACCAATATTAAGTGATATTAAATATAGAGAATAAAGAAGACATCCTTAGAATCTCTGGATAAATAACCAAAAGATTTTCAAAGTTTTGATTTAGACAGGTTATTAAAATTAGTATTTTAAAAACCAAAAATCAATCATGATGGTTACGCTGAAATTGCAAAATAAACTATAAAATGAAAATAAAATGAAGTAAGCTACTAGAAGCAATTTGCCTTACTTATAAATCATAATTATTTCTATTGACTTAGTTTGAGACTTTTTTCAATACCAATTCTTGAAGTCCTCAAAAAAGGAAACCTTCAAATTTACATATGCTCTATTTTACACTTCCTGCATTAGTTAATTTCAGAGTTATTTCTCTGAAACATAAATATATTTATTGAATAAAACATAGGATTTAAGTTATTTAAAATCAAATTCTTCTATAACTTTTTATTAGTCCTGACCCATAACAAACAACATCCATACATAAAAAAAGGCTTCCTCAAGTTGAATGCTTTCCTTGTTTCTTAAATTACTTTACTCACTCATAGGATTATAAAGAAAAGGGTACTGGATACTGTGGTCAACTGGACAGATGAACTGCAGAGGGAAAACTTCTCAAAGATTCAATTGAGAAGACAATTGGACATGATATGTGGAATAAAAAATATTGTCATTTTAAGTAGCTGTTATTGTAAAAGGTTATTCTTAAGTTTTTCTTCACTTTTTTCTTGAGTTTGGTCACAGATCTCTTTAAGAAAGCCATGGAACCACTATTTCCTGAAAGCACAGTTAACATAAAAATTTTCCACGCAAGTTCAGGGGATGTATCAATTCCCCCAAAACCATGGAATCTCGGATTAAGAACACTCTTAGTTGTAAAAGCTCTCTGAACTAACTCAAAAGATGAAAGCATGAGGTGTAACAATCTCTTTGGATTCTAATTTAAATCAATCAACCTTTCACTTTAAAATCTTGAATAACAAATACATAATGTAACATTTAGCTATATGTAATAAAATTAATGGTAATCCTACAAGTTAAACATAACATGAAATAGAAGCGTGTATTTTTAAAAAGTACTATATCTAAATGACTACTTTAAACTATGCATGTCTTTTCAATTCATTCATCAGTCACACGGAAGTCATAGGTAAAGATGTAATATATGTGGATATTATTACTAACTCTTCTAATTATTAGGGAAAAAACCCCACACTATTTGCTTAGTAAAGAAGAAGCCAATAAATTTTAAACTTTGCAGATATAAATTGTGCTGCAAATGCTACCTAAAGGACCCAACTGTCAAAATCACAATCAGCATTTTTGTTTAATTATACTCTAAATGAACTACATCTGGAAAATGTATCTCTAGTTTCTCTTCTTCCTCATCAACCTTTATTATTTAAGGATAATAATACATCTGAGTAAATTCTCAAAAGTAACATGCTAAGTAGTCGTGGAATGAACCATTTGTACTAGTTTCAACATTCTTATTTTCATCTTATCATGGAAACCTGGAATTTATAGAGTTTTGAAAATCTAAATGTGCAACCAATACCTTTAAAATATTACTTTCAATCAGGAGTCCCATAAATAAATTGATGGATTTTTTGATATGGTGGTCAGCAAACAGGAAAATGATTAACTCAAGAATGTATTAAAAGCCATGTCTCTCAACTATCTCAGTTATCTGTGCTGTTTTATTAAAAATACCTTATACTTTGCTGTTTAGAATAATCGAATTGGGCCTAATTTCATTTTTAGAATTTTGTTTTAAAAAAACTGATCAATGATTCTTAGCAATGGGCCACTAAATCTAACCAAATACATTTTCTCAATTCCAATTTAGTATAGACTAAGAATTAGTTAAGACTGGATTCAACAAATCTAATCAGAAATTTATTAAGTGGACAATAATACAACCTATACCTTTATAGACATATCCTATCAAATTTTGATAATCCCTAAATGATTTTCAGGGATATAAAGCCCTGAAACATTCCAGATAGTTGAGAGATGTGGTTAAAGTGACAAAGCATAAATCAACTGCAGTTATCTATGACAGAAGATAGGAACAACAATCACTTGGAATCTTGAGTATTATATTCAGTTTCTCCAGCTGAAATCTGGCTGAGTCGCTTGCTAGATCCCCACAATTTTCGAGAAAGCTGACCTGAACGCATCTGTTTAAAGTAATCCAGAGAAATGAAGAATAGATGTTATTAAGGGGAAAAAAAGAATAAATGAAATTGATATACAAGACATTGATTTTGTAGAATGAAGAAGAAATAGGTTTTGTTAGTAGAATCATTCATTAACATTTTAAAGACTCTTGATTAATAAAGATTCTACATTTGGTTGTATCTTTCAGTTGAAAAAGGTCTAATATTAATGTAGAAATTTTTAAATTCAATGTCCCAGCTATGTCAAAATTACCAGACTCTTTATTTTATTTATTAACAAAAACACATATTACTTAATTAAAATAAGCTTCTCATACTACACTCAATCTAGCTAACAAGACACACAGATTTGCGATTTTCTCCTCTTAGATTTGCAATACTATTAATGTTAATCATAAGGCTAAGAAAAAAAGAAAAATAATTTTTTGACAAAAAAAGTAATTTAAAAAACATTATAAGAATTTCAAAAAATATTATTTAACAATAATATGTTAAAAAGCAATTTAGGAAAAAAGAATAGGATAAGCTCTCTGAAAGAAAGAATCCCGTTTTGTCCACCACTAAATCTGCACTACTTAGCACACTTCCCAGCAAATAACAAATATTATTTACATATTAATTGAATCAGTGAATAAATACCCTTTTAAAAGTGCTTACATTTCTAGGTGGGACAAAAACAAACAACAACAAAAAAACCCATGGGAAACATTTCTCATTCTTACCAAAATAACTCGTTGGAATTACTTTTCTAAGTGCAATCTACTTTTTAACGGTGATTCCTCTGCCATCCTTTTTGAATGGTTCCTTTTCCAGGGTACATTTATTGGAGTAACAAAAAACAAGTCTCGCAGAAACACACCAATAGCTTTTGGTATGCTTATTTTGCATTTTCACTTCCAGATTATTTTCTGAAACATTACTTCCATTAATCTATTACTACCTTACCACTATTTATAAATAAGAATTTCACATTGACAGTATAGTCTATAAAACTGATACATGATTTAAAAATACACATTAACCAAGATTTTGATCATTTAGAAAAAATAAATCTTGAACTATAAATGTGTCCTTTCATCACTAAATAACTATAAATGTGCCCTTTCATAACTAAATAGAATAGATGAGATTTTAATTACATAAGTCTAAGTATCCAATAAAATTATTTACTAAAGTAGAACGATAATTCAGCTGATGTATTCAAAGATGTAGAACAGATAGAAAAGTTTTATTCTAAATCTATCTACACATATTTCAGATTCTATGTGTTGTAGACTATATAAACCTTTCAACAAGAGCAAATTATCAAACATACTTAAAAAATATTACAAAACATTAATTTAGGCTTATAAAATGAAGCTGCTTAGGTGTATTTTTTCCAATCAATTTTTAAAAGAAAACATGCATGTAGTAGTCATCTCATTTAAAAAAAATTTCAGCAAAATCAGAAACTGATAAATTGGGGAAGGACAAATTTAAAAGGCACTTGAAACCACAGAAAGTAAAATAAGTAAAGTTTGAGCAGATTTCTTAAGCAATCATCATATTAGCAGAAGACAGGAGGCAATATTTATTTGGAAAAGTTATTAATCAAGAAACTCAATTAGTGAGTGGTCATCTAAGATACTCCACTGGTCTCACCCCTTTGGGAGTAAGGGAGAATGAAGAAAACTAAAGATACAAGGGAAAGATAGTCAAAAGGACTAATGGAACACAACTACCATGGCCTCCAGCAGACTGAGTCCAGTACAACTAGATGGTGCCCAGCTACCACCACTGACTACTCTGACAGGGATCACAATAAAGGGTCCCGGACAGAACTGGAGAAAAATGTAGAACAAAATTCTAATTCACAAAAAAAGACCAGATTTACTGGCCTGACAGAGACTGGAAAAACCCTAAAAGAATGACCCTCAGACACCCTTTTAGCTCAGTAATGAAGTCACTCCTGAGGTTCACCCTTCGGCCAAAGATTAGATAAGCCTATAAGACAAAACGAGACTAAAGGAGCACACCAGCCTAGGGGCAAGGACTAGAAGGCAGGAGGGGACAGGAAAGCTGGTAATAGGGAACCCAAGGTCGAGAAGGGAGAGAATGTTGACATGTCATGGAGTTGTTAACCAATGTCATAATACAATATGTGTACTGTTTAATGAGAAGGTAGTTTGTTCTGTAAACCTTCTTCATCTACAGTACAATTAAAAAAAAAAAGAAAGAAAGAATCTCAAAATTAGCATTGAATTGAAACACACTTAAAGTATGAATGGAAACATACTTAAAAAGTATAAATGAAATACTGAGGTATGGAGCTGCCGACATTGTTTAGGGGACTATTACGTATGAAACTAAATGTTGTTGCAGTCACTTTAATTTAGCAAAACTTCTCTTTTGTTAAAATAAATTTTATTTTATAAAAAAGAGCATAATGGCTAAAGAAATCTTAAAACATTTATAATTCAAAAATGATTTCTCTGATAGATGATAACCACTGACAACGTGATAGTAATTTTTTGTCTTGGATAACCCCTACAGATGGCGTACTGTTAGATTTCTCAGAAAAGGTAGACAACAACTCGAAAAATTTATAATGCTTAATTTGATGCTATATAACAAAATAAATTTTCTAGAAGAATAATTAAATTACTTGGAGTATAGCCATATGGTTTCCTAGGAATAAGTATGAGATTTATGATATCTGAATATTCAGAAATTGATAAATTTTTTGGCAAGTAAATTTACAATACCCATAGGAAACTCACTGAGAATAAGCACATTATATGGGACATATTCTTAGTTTCAAGAAAAAAAGCTTGCTTTTACAAAAAGACAACTGACATACAGTCATGCTGGTGTTTGTTAAACTAAAGAGTTGTATTTTTAAGCCTATATTTCATTTTTTATAAAGGCTTTATGTATTGAAAATCCAAGAAGTGATCTCAAATCTATATTTGGATAGAGACAATAAAAGAATTTTCTCATTCCTATAGAGTAGTATATGGAAACTGCCAAATGCATGCTCTCAATTATAATATAAATATCACTTTTGAATAATAGCGCTATCCCCTCTCTTCATTTACCACCCTTTGAAAAATCAAATTTGTTTTTTAATTTGTTCATCCATAATGGAGACTTCTGACTCAACTGGACCAAAGGAGAACCAAAGGAATCTACAACAGTGCGAGAAAGGAAATTCTTGATGCTAAGTTTTACCTCAGCTGGCTTGCCAACACCCACTACAATCAATTTGCCATCTTCTAATCCTACAAGAATATGGCTGTATTCTTTGGTTACAGAAACAGAGTGGATAGGCAATCGCATGGCTAATGGGTTGATGCTGAGATTCAAACTAGAAGAGAAATAAAAAAAAAACAGAGACATGATTACATGGATATATAATAAACACAGAATTTTATACCTGGAAAATAACAATCATCTAGTTCTGCATTCTAATTTTATGTTAGAACATAGGTTCAGAAACTAAGTGACTCACTTAAGGGCTCACATTTATAGCATTACTTAAAATTCTTGATAAAAACCTTTTTTCACTCTACTCTAAACATGTTTTCCTTCTAATAATATATAACCAAACAATAAGTATTAAGAAAGCAATCATCAACCTAATATATAAAAATTATTTTCCTTAGTCTCTAAAGAACCTTACCCTTTCTTCAACTGCCCAATACACTCTACTATTACAAATCCTCTTTTTGATCATCATTTGTCTGAGGCTAATAACCCATATCTGTTCCCTTGGAGTGGCCCTGGTGGCGAAGTGGCTAAGAGCTTGGCTGCTAACCAAAAGGTCAGCAGTTTGAATCCACCAGCTGCCCCTATGAGGCAGTTCTACTCTGTCCTATAGGGTTGTTATGAGTTGGAATCCACTAAACAGCAACAGGCTTGGTTTTTTGGGTTCCCTTGGTAAAGCGATGCTGGTGGGATTAGAGGGAAGGTGAGAGACAAAATGAGGAGGAAAACAGGTAGGGTTTTATCTGGATATTAACTAGATTCCAGTCCTTTGTGTCTATTATGGATTGAATTGTCTCCCCCAAAAAGATATGTTGAAGTCCTAACCCCTAAACCTGTGAATGTAACCTTGTTTGAAATAGGTTCTTTCTTTGAAATTAAATTCATAATGAAGTCATCCTGGGTAGGGTATGTCTTAATCCCTTCTGAGTTGTTTCTTATAAAAGGGGGAAACAGATACAGAGATAGAGTCACACAGGAGGAAGATAGCACGGAAAGACACATCTACAAGCCAAGAGAAACCTGAAGCAACCAGAAGCTGGAAGAGACAAGGAAGGATCTCTCCCTAGGGTGGACCGAGAGAGCATGGCCCTGTTGGTGCACTGAATTCGGAATCCTGGTCTGCAGAACTGTGAGACAATAAATTTCTGTTCTTTAAAGCCACCCACTTTGTGGTATTTTGTTTATGGCAGCCCTAGGAAACTAAGACAGTGTCCTACCTAAAACAGGTGGAGATAAAATTTTTGCACCAGCCAACATTCTCTGAGCCTCAGATCATCAGTGGGCATTTGTTCTAGCCTTTCCTTGACTCTACCCCTAAAATCCACACCATGCTCACTGCTGTCCCTGTGCCTTTGTTCTTTATTTTCTCAGATCTTGCCTACTCTCATCTTTAGAAGGTTGCTCTCCCTCCTTCCATCTCCACTTCTATTCCCACTAATCCTTCATGAAGACTCCTCTAACTACTCAGATCCACAGTAATGCTTAATGTCATCAAACTCCTAAAGCGCATGTAATTGTTGTTAGGTGCCGTCAAGTTGGTTCCAACTCATAGCTATCCCATGTACAACAGAACGAAACACTGCCTGGTCCTGCATTATCTTCACAATTGTTGCTATGCTTGAGCACGTATAACTGGAAAAAAAAAAAAAAAAAAGAATCAAACCCACTGCTGTTGAGTCAACTCCAACTCACAGCAACCCTACAGGACAGAGCAGAACTGCCCCATATGGTTTGCAAGGAGTGGCTGGTGGATTTGAACTGCCGCCTTTTGGTTAGCAGCCAAGCTCTAAACCATTGTGCCACCAGGGCTCACATATGACTAGTACCACATAATTTAGTTTTTAAACTTTTATAACTAATACACACTATTACTATGCCCCCAACTAGTCTGAAACTTTCCTTAGTCAGTTATGAGTAAGCAGCACAGTACTGAGAAGATAGATGATTTTCCCTTCTTTATTAAGTGGAAGTTGGATGCCACTCAAAATCTACTGCTGTCAAGTCAATTCCGACTCATAGCAACTCTACAGGACAGAGCAGAACTGCCCCAAAGGGTTTCCAAGGCTGTAATCTTTATGGAAGCAGACTGCCACGTTTTTCTTCCATGGAGTGGCAGATGGGTTTGAAATGGTTAGTAGCTGAGGGCTTAACCACTGCATCACCAGGGCTCTTGGAAGTTGGATAAGAAAGCCAAAAGCATCAAAAAGAAATGTGTAAGGGAGAGTGGGGTGATTGAGGTCAATAAAACTGATCTATTTGCTTTGTCTAATATCCCATTATGAAAAATGCTTACACTTATTTAATGATTAAAGAATGAAGAATCCTATGATGTACATACTATGTTCTAGACTGAACTGTTCAAAGAGCCACGGATTTTTCTAATTGTGAATTCTCCTAACAGTACCCTGAAATAAGGGCTGAAAAAGAAAATGTTGGGAAGATATCATTGGAATGGGGATTCAGTGGTCTTCTACAGGAGAAAGAATGACAAAAATGAGAAAGAAAAGACTAATGTAATTAGGGGATTTTGGTATAGAAGTGAATCTAAGATATATGTAATTAAGATACAATACCCTAGACCAGGAAATTATTTCTAAGGAAGGTTTTTTGGAGGCTGAAGGTAGTTTGAGGAGTATAAATAACCTGCAACAAATTTTTAAAAAAGCAAAGGGAAGAAAATGAAAGAAGGCATTTGGGGCACATAGGAAATAGCAGTTTTGTGTATGTTGTTGGGTGCAGTAGAGTTGATTTTTGACTTACAGCGACCCCATGTGACTAAGTAGAACTGCCCAAAAGGTTTTCTAGGCTGTAGACTTTATGGGAGCAGATTATGGGGTCTTTCTCCCATTTTGTGTATATAAGCTAGTAAGGATGAAGAATATCAAACTTCCATATATATCCACTATATAAACATCTTTCCTCTTCACTGGATTAAAGAACAAAAGACTCCTCTACCCAACTTTATACATACATATACATATACATACACATGCATAAATACATTAGCCCTAAAAATTTAGTTTATAAAAATTCAAGCCATAATTTGAACAATTTCCAAATCCTTAACCCAAGTCTGGCATTATAAAAAATTTTTTTTGCTAGCTCTACATGTTTTCTTAATACATATATATTTCATTTACTAATTCAGAAATACTTTAGCTGCCCACATTTCTTTCATAGTTTCCAAAAGAGGCATTTTTCATAATAATTGATAAACCAAAAAATTAGAAATCTTAGATTCCTGATTTCTACTCTAGGCTGAAATTATTACCATCTTTTCTTAAGTGATACTTTTTTAAATTTACCTGTGGAGATCTCTTATAGACAGGAACCCTTGTAAGCTGCCTGTGACAATATGTTCTCCAATTATGCATATATCTGATACTTGCTCTTTTAGGATTTGAGACTTTAAATACTTGCCATTTACAGAAAACAGATGCAATGTATTCTTATCCTGAAAAGATTAGATGAGAAAAATTTAATTATTTCAAATAAAAACTGAGTTTTTATATTGTCAGTTAAGACTATGATTATAATGGAATGATTACTGGGTTTTTTTAAACTTTGGAATAAAACTATAGTTATATTTAAAAAGAGTCTGTAAACATTATAGTATTACTATAGTGATTTAAAATCAGATAGCCAAGTTAATAAATATTAAGCAAGAAATCTCGTTCCCCCCAAAAGAAGGACTAAAATCTCATCCAATTAAAAAAAAAAAAAAATCCACATTTTTTTTTTTAAATTCTCTTAATTTTTAAAAAGTTACATGACAGGAAAATTTATAAAATTTAGTTTATTTATACCTTGCCTTGTTCAAAAAGAATTTAAATTGTCTTCAATTTTCACTTACAAAGTCCTACGTAATCAGAATTTATTTTTGAAATCATATAATTATACAGGCAATAAAAAAATCAAAATCCATTGCCATCGAGTCGACTCCAACTCATAGCGACCCTACAGGACAGAGTAGAATGGCCACAGAGGGTTTCCAATGTCGTGATCTTTATGGAAGCAGACTGCCACATTACTTCTCCCGCAGAGTGGCTGGTGAGTTCGAACCGCTGACCTTTCAGTTAGCAGTCCTGTACTTCACCACTGTACCACCAAAACTCCTTACAGGCCTACAGAAATGCCTAAAATAAAGTATAAATGTGAGGCCAAGATTGTGGTAGAAGCCTTTCTAAAGGTAAGGAATGAATAATTAAGTGATGACAGGAAGATACCCTCTTTAAAATATGGTGTTCTCAACTTCCTCAAAATGCCTCATATATGATGTGGAGAAGGAAAGACAAGCAAGCTGAACATATAACCTAGCCCTCCTACATGAAATATAATATACCTTAAGGGTGGTCTTTTCTTCAATGCTGGAGTAGATAACAATATGTCCTTCCCAAGATATAGCCAAACTGGGAATGGTCAGGAGCAGAGAACTCTCACAAGGTGGTCGTAAAGTCCTCATGTACTGACCTTTCTGAATGGTATGTATAATCACAGTGCCATCCTACAAAGAGAAAATATTAGAAAATGAAAAGGACAAAGGAAAAGAATAGCAAAAAAGGAGAAAGGCAAGTGTGCTGGATAAAGAAATGTAGGAACAGAACTGAAAAAAGGATTATTCCGTCAAAGGTATACTCTGCATATACCTTAGGAAAATTTCAAATAGTATTTTACTTTATAGAATGCCCTCTTCCATTAACCAATAAGAACGATAAAATCGCAAAATAGAACCCAATCTTTTAAGTTTTCCTTTACATTACTCCACTTTTGCAAAGTTTTACAAAAATATGATATAAAGACTATTACCAATTCCCCTAGAAAAACCTTTAAAATATAAATATTGCTTCTGAATATGGAGAAAAAATAATTAGTATTTTTATAAGGTGAAATCTTACCCTTGATCCTGACACTGCCATGTCTAGTTCAGTGCTGATGCCAACGCTCAATACCTCATCAGTGTGTCCATATAGAATCTGAAAGGGTTTAGATGCTAAGCCCACAGGAACACCTCCCTAATATTAAAACAGAAAAGCAAAGGTAAAGATATTTTTCTTGCAGGCTGTTTTTTTTATAATGAGGTTTATGCTGCACCTTAAACTTTCTAATCACAAAGTAACGCTGCAACATGTTTTTACCATTGAATTATTCATAGTAGTACTTATTGTGTTTTCTTCTGGGATTTCCAAGTTAATCTTTTGAAGCTCAAATACTTAATCTGAATCGTCTCAATGGTGATTGTGTTTTATTAACTTCTTTAGGTATGTTATTTGCTGTTTTGATCTACAGATTTATTTTCCCCTCACTTCAAAGAAACTTTTGTATTATGTCTCTGAATACTTTCTCTTTTCCATTTATTGGAGTCACTATTTCAAGGACATCACTTATCTTTATACTGACTGGTCTTTGATTTCTATAGCTATAATTCGTTCTCCAAATTCTTTAAATCTTTTTATCTTTTTTAATTTGTATTTACTTTGATTACCTCAAATCTTTCTTCCATGCCATTAATTTCATTTTTCAGCCACATCAAATCTGTTCCTTGCCGTATCTATTTAGGGTTTATAGTATTTATAATGGTATTGGTTTTAGTCCAGTTTGATTCTTCTGCAACCTCCCTTTTGAACTTATTATGCTATTTTATCAGAAGGCCCTGGCTGGTACAAACAGTTACATGCTTGACTACTTGCCAAAAGGTTGGCAGTTCAAACCCACCCAGAGGCACCTCGGAAAACAAGCCTGGTGATCCACTCTGTGGAGTTTTACAGATCAGTTCTACTTTGCACACATGAGGTCTCTATGAGTCAGAATCAATTTGATGGCAATTAACAACAACAATGATATTTCATCTTTGAACTCCTATCTTATTAAACTCCTATTCTTATGCTCTTTTAATAGCACAATTTTATTGCAGGGAATATGTCTCTGTCCTTTAGTTGTTTTCTTCCAGAAGAAAGAAGATTCTTCATCTGTCTTTTGTATGCTTTGTTTGTGCATTATTTTCTCTGCTACAGAATGTTTGAATAGTTTCCACAGTATTTGTTTTATGGTTGTTTTGTGGTTATCCTAGACAACTCTGCCCAGACCTTCTATCTGCTCTATATTGTGGATGAATTCTCCTTGACTCTCTATTACCTGGGACACATCTGTCTTCCTTTAAGGTGCAGTATGAGTGCTTAGTGCTATAATAGGATACATGGTAATGAATCAGAGACTAAACCTAGAAAAAAGGTGGTGATTAGAATAGGAAAGGATAAGGATGAGAGAATGCAAAGGAGCTCAAACAGTCATTCACAGCCACAGGAAAATGTATTAACCTATGAGAACATCTCAACAGTATTCCCAGGGTGAATCTATGACCTAAACCAAAAGCATTTAAATGTATGACTACCTGTTGTGTTATCTGCCATATCATACATGTAGTATCTCTGGAACCAGAAATCAAATGTATTCCACAGTAATCTGTAGCTAAGCAAGTCACAATATCTGTTTAAAAAAAAATAAAATAAATGAAATGGCTTAGTTTTGCTGAAACAGAACTTTAAGAGAAATTTTAGTTTATGTTCAAACTATCACTAAATCAATTGTTTCTAACAGGGAGAAGTGTTGGTAAAGAATAGTGATGCAGGGAAGAAGCAATATCAAAATCACGTAAGAGAGCTTTCTTTGAAGCCACTCTTCTCTGAGGGTGAGTAGAGCTGGGGGCTGCGAATGCCTATTAGAATTTTGAGAGGAGGCTAGGTAGCTTGAAATGAATCCCCAGTTGATTTCGATATGCCTCTCCACTTTTATTCCCATTCCCCTTCTACTCCCATTGGGAATTACAATCTTATTGAATGTGTCCTTAAGGAAAACAGTACATATTCTGTATATACATTCTATATATAATGTAAATTCACATTATAAAATACATTTCTCCTGAACTATAAAAAGCTGAGCTAAATGACATATTAGGAGTCACTGATAAAGAATTAGGGGCACGTTCCATTTCCCCTCCTTAAAAGGTTAGAAAAAAAAAATCTATTCAATATTTTATTCTTATGTTGAAGACTGAGGCACTAAGAAGTATCAGGTTAAACTACACTAAACAAGTTTACCTCTCTCATGCTTTACAGTTAACAGAGTAATAGAGCAGTTAATGTTTTATTTAACTACTACAGATTTAAATTTATTAACATTTTGTCTTAAAATTATTTCTATCAGTCATTTTTCTAAAAACTTAGCTTAACATCTTTCAGACACTATGAAGCTGTATTTAATTTATATGCTGCTTTAGTATATCTAAAATATATCAGACACTATTACACAAAGGATATACTATAATACTGTATTGCCAGAAAGTTCACTTGGCTTCAAAGGTATAACTTCATGCTCTTTACAAGGTGTATGCATTACTTTTATAGTTAGAAAAAATAAAGAAATTTTGTCTTTTTAGGAAAAAAAGTTAATGCTTACCCATATGTCTGATATTGTGTGAGATAATTTTGCCTTTTGTGAGGGACATCACTTGAATGCTATTATCCCAGTGTCCGGCACTGAAGAGCAACTTTGCATCATGTGATACTACAAACAGCTTAGAAGTGACCTCGAGGCCTGGAGCAAAAGGACCATTCACGCTACGCTGAGTTCTGTAAGCACAATTAACAGTTAGATTCTTCCTTAAAAGATCACTTAGGTTGGTATCTATTTCTTTTATCTCTCTAAGACAAAATAAAAGTCCCAACTGTTCAATTTGAAATGTGTATTAATAAATGATAAAGACTTTCATGAAATAGGTTACTCTTACTTTATTCATATTTGGAATAAAATAAAAATATACATAATAAATAGTCTTGAGGGTTAAGCATAAAGAAGTGGTAAAGGTGTGAAAAAGGTTTAAATCTTATCTTTCAAAGCCAATTTATAAAATTGGTAGTTCTGTAAATGGCAGCCTCAAAGAATGAAGACAAGATAGGATCTGCCAGGACCAAGAAAATCAGACATAAACTAAAACCAGGGATCTATAACGCAGTGATGAATTAGACAGATAACTGCATATCTAGCAATAGTCATGAAGATTTTTTTCCATTCCAACCAAAATAAGCATTTAGGTTTCATCTTTTTCCAACTGAAATACCCACGAGCTTAGACAATCTAGATTCTGCAGAAAGATGCAAAGAAGTAATCGCACTTCAGTATGTTTGCAGAAAATGAGGGCTGATTCTGACACTTCAGCTTCAGAACCTTCTTACTCAATATTAATTTTCTAAGTGTCTGCTTTATGCAAAGTACAACAATACTAAGTCCTATGTGGGATAAGAAAGTAAAAATGATGCTGCTTCTGATCTTATGGAGTTTTAGTCTAGTTGGTGAAGAGAAGAAAAATATAATGATAATAATTATATCACTTTAGTTTTCAAATATAGGATGCAATTTGATACTAAAAACAGCACTGAATGCTAACTATGATTTAAGTGGAAAAAATGTAAGTAAGGCAAACATCACCTTAAGTTAGAATGTAACCTTTTGAGAGTTTGAGAAAACAACTAAGGGAAATACCGAATTCCTATTACATAAAACACATAGGGCTTAGACCAAACAGTCAACATTTACCCAACGGCAAGATGAGAATGCAAGGAGGGGAAGGGAAGCTAGGTCAATGGAAACAGAACAAACAGAATGGAAACAAATGAGAATGCTGACACACTGTAAAAACTGTAACCAATGGCACAGAACAACTTGTATAAAATTGTTAAAGGGGAACCTAATTTGCTATGGAAACCTTCACCTACAACACAATAAAATATTACTAAAAAAGGAAAAAAAATAAAAACATTTACAATAAATAATATTATAAAATTATAATTAAGTTAAAAAACTATTCCTAATAAAGTTTTTTGCTTCCATAACTGATATTATAGAAATTCTGTTTTGCCTTTAAACCAGTATCAAGCAAGAGCATAACTTTAAAAAAAAAAGAAAAAAGGAAGGAAAGAAGAGAAGGAGTGAGGGAAGGAAGAAAATCTGGGTGTCTACAATGTTACTTACATAATGACACCAATCAACTAATCTGGTTGTTTTTCAGGGTCATAAGGTAATCGTCTGCTGTACCTATTCAGCTTTAAGTATTTATTACTTACTTTGGATTTGTCACAGTTTGGTCTTTGATGAATGTAAAGTAATTAGAAATGTTTCTGTCATAAGGCAGCCATCCATGCGTTCCAATAACATTATTCATGCTTATTGTTATCTGGAAAAGAACACATGAAGACTCAAATAAAACATGAAAGGCAACAATGTAGAACCAAATGTTCACATGATGTTAGCATTTATCATTTAGGGAATACTGTGTGACTCTGTAAGGGGCCCTGGTGGCACAGTGTTTAAGCACTTGCCTGCTAACCGAAAGGTTGGTAGTTAAACCCACCAGCCGCTCCTGAGGAGAAAGATGTAGCAGTCTGCTTCCATAAAGATTTACAGCCTTGGAAAGCCTATGGGACAGTTCTACCCTGCCCTATAGGGTCTCTACAAGTCAGAATCAACTCGATGGCAGTGGGCTTGGGTTTTAGGTATAACTGTGTACTTAAAACAGCAAGTCTTAAAAAATTCACCCTCAAATGGACAGAGCTCTTTATCTTCATGCAAAAAAGTTGTCAAATGTATCTTTCTTTTCGAAACCTGTTAGTTTTATAATTGGAGGGGAGGGGCTTTTCATTTTGAAAAGAAAATACTCACTATGATTCTTATTCCAGTGACAATCTTTACAATTCATCAAAAGTTCTACTTCTGATTTGAGGAAGATTATTTTCCTCATAACTGCTCAAAGTTTACTATCATCTGCTAGTTGACAGAAGAAATTCAGGGTCAAGTCTTAACATAAAAACATGATATATAATATATCACTTAGAACACAAATCAGAAGTAGTACTTCTGATGAACTGCAAAGGTCGTCACTGTAGTGACAGTCATAGTGAATATTATCTTTTCAAAATGAACCCCCCACCAATTATAAAAATAACAGTTTTTTTAAAAAAAATCAGGTAAGTTTAAAAACTACAGATATTAAAATGGAAAATTACACAAATTTCACCACTCAAAAAAATACAACAAATATTTTTTGTACCTTTCTAGCCTTTTTGTCCTAAGAAAACACACAATATGTATAATTACCCAAATAAGTCTAATTCTGGAATCCCTGCTGTTTACTGGGCGATACCTGTTATTGCAATTTCTAAGTGACGAAATTAGAATAAGACAGCCTAGGTTTTGGTCCATGTGCTAGGGTCCCAGATCCCTTACTTGCTAGCTCTCTGACCTCAGGCAAGTTACTTCTCTGAGTTTTAATTTATCTGTAGAAGGGAAATAATAATAGTGCCTATCTCATAGGATTATCATGTGGTCTAAATGACAAAATTCATGTAAAGCACCAATTAAAGTGTCCTGCATGTACACTTTTTTCAATTCCGTATTGTTGCTCATTCTCATTATTGTTACAGCTTTATACTAAAGCTTAATATCTGGTAAGATGTTATCCCTATTTTCTTTTAAAAAATTTCCTGGCTATTTTCACATATTTATTCTTCCAGAAAAAGTTTAGAATAACAACTACCTAAAATAAAAACTGTATAAATAGAAGAAACGTTTTGTGTCTTTGTCAAAATAATCCTAGGTAAACTTTCTCTATAGTTTTTAAAATTGACTTTTTAAAATCTTTATTTCTTCAGTATTTTTGTAAGTTGTTATGGATATAGACATGGTGGTGTGAAAAAGGTATAAAGCAACTTACCAGTAACTCAGGGCTGCCTTGAGACATAAAAGAACGAGACTGATTTTTGGGAACAATAGTCTTTATTAGTGGAATACCATCACTAATTCCCTATAAAATGAAAGACAGACGTTTAGTAACTGGTTCTGCTCATCTTTACTAGGTATAAATTATTGAAAACTTCTATTTCTTTAAACAAGGATGATCCCTGTGATATAGCACTTTATTGAAACATATCATCATTTAATTTAAAATATAGGACAGGAATTATCTACCATGTTTCTATGGCATACTTGAAACTTCTGGAACCCATCACCTTCATCTATACCACTACTCTGCTGTGAGACAGGTAGACTTCAAAGAACATCAACCATTTAAAACAGTCCATGATTTAAGATCTCTCCTTTTCCCCTGCTGTACTGACATGAATATAAAGTAGAAAATAGAAAATATAGACCATATAAGAATACATTTCTCAAATAGGTCAAATGGGAAGATTTTATATTGCATAGAAATTTCCTTTTGGGTCTAATTTCCACTGAGGTTAATGAAAGAGAGAGAAAGCCACAAAAATAGGACCAGAAAATAAAGATGGTCCTCAGAAAACATCCACCATTATCTTATTACAATGTGAAGGAGAACAATTCTATTACCTCTCTCTACCTACCCACCTACCTAATCTATCTATCTTAAAGCTCTCCTCAAGAACTCAGTTCCTTGATGTGACAACAGTTCATAAATGATACCTAACATTCATTAGGTAAAGATAACCTAACATTATTGGTATGTACTTTGTGCCAGGTGCTATTTATTCTAAGAGCTTTATATGAACTAAATAACGAATCATAAACCATATAAAGTTAGCGCTTATCTTCTCTCTTTACACTGTGAATTAATCAAGGGAAGAATGCCTTATATCTGAACAAAAGCATAAATGAAAATGATGTCTGAAGAAATACATTTATTAAGCCTGTGCTTTCACTGCTACCTCCATTTTCTTCACCATTTTATCACCTACGAAGAGGTGACCTACAGAGAAATTCTTCTCTTTTCACATGAACGTGTGGAGAAAGACCTTCACTTATGATAATGAAAAAGGGTTAAAAAGTTATTAGTACCCAAGAATATCCACCATGTTCTTTTGCCTGTTCTAGATACTGGTCCTGGGGAAAGCTACCCTGTGATATGGTGGGTACAGAGAAGGGCAAATGTGTCACTGCACCTGTCGATGGGATTCAGAATGTATTATCTTATAAAAACCATGTCACAAATGATGAGACATGATGGAAATAGTTAAATAAGCATTACATAATAAACACAGCATTATGTGTCTATCAGATTATGGGTTCAATAGGGTTTTATGGGTTGCCCTGTGTGCAGAAAAGAGTTAAAACAGCAGGTCCGGGACTCCTGTCCTTAGAAAAGGCCTACTTGCAAGATTGGTCCTTGGCTGGTAAACAGTTACCTACGCTGATATAAAACTTTCCCTAAATGGTAAGGGAAGCTCACTGCACCTAGACTCTTTGTGCAAACATTATGGTTTATGCTGATAACCTGCTTTTCTTCTGGGAGTCTGAAATTCTGGCATGTGCTAGACAGAGGGTGCCTACATGACCAGCCCCCAATAAACACCTTCCAGCCCGTTCAAACTTATGCCCTATGGGACAAATCCAGCTTACTGATTGATTTATATGGCCTGTACTTAACTTTTACATTTTTAAATAATTATATTTTAAGAGGTTATATATGTGTCTACATAATATTCTTGATTTTGCCTCTTGGACTATAAAGCCTAAAATATTTACTCTCTGGTCCTGCTCTATTTACTGCCCCCTACTCTACTGTATGATAGCCACTGCTTGTACTGTACATGTCTCTAAACTATACATAATAACTTTTTCCTTCATTTTTATTTTTGCCCAAAGAGTTAATATTATCTATTCTAATCAAATTCATAGGTATGAAAGCGTTTCACATTCACGTCCTGAACTATTCAAAGCAATATGTAAATTTAAACATATGAATTCCCTCCTGACATTTTTAATTAACAACCTGACTTACTGAGCCATATTTTATAGATAAGCAGACATTATAAATAAGAGCTATTTTAAGCTTCCTCTACATATCATCAATTGACACAAAATGCATTTTAAATAAAATTATTTATTCTTTCTTGTCAGGAAAATAAGAAGTAGGATAAAGAAATCCGAGAGAACAGTTCAGATTACCGCTCAGCAGCAAACAAAAGCTTTCAAATAAAATTGTTTTAAATATCCAAGAACAGATTATTGAGGTATTATTTGCTATTTTGGATTAAGTATTATAATCCTCACCCACCATTATAGAATAAAATTAACTTTAAGGTATACAGGACTCACAAAGAAAACTCTTTGCTGTTACCAAGTTGGGTATTACCTCTATAAAAAATGACTTGAGTTCAGGGAGGTGTTGAAACAGGTTTAGGGTTGAAGTGTCTGTTCTGGTCTGTTTCTGTACTGCTTCCTCTGCTGATAATCTAGGAGGGTGTGGTTCCTTCAAAAATAATTTCAAGAAAAAATAATTCCACAATTATATTAAAACATCTCTCATTGTATCCCTTCATGCATACTGGCCTCTAGCTACAATGCACACCACACACTGTTGATGGCTCCATGCATTGGCTCGGACTATCCCCTCAGCAGAGTTCCTACCCTATTCATTCATATGAAAACTCTACTTCCACTTTCAAGTTTTTCATACTGATGTCTCCCCTGAATATCTAAGTCAGAATTAATTATTTCCTTTTGTGGCTTTCTGAGTAAATATAAATCTTTCTGTGACAGACTGACTGACTATATATGTGCATTTTGACTGCAATATTTTGTTATTTCAAAATAGGAACAATCAATTTTTTTTTCGAATTTTAGGTGATTCTGAAATAAGGTTTTTAATTCAATATCCTTAAAAGTACTAGCAGTACAATTTCTTAGCTATTCAATTCTAGACTTTTTATGTTATCAATAACTTATATGATTTACCTTTAACAGCTGACAAGGTGTTTGTCCAAAATTATTAATCATCCCTTCTAAGGCTTTCCTTTCTTTCTCATCTGTTAAGGCATCCAGATCGACAGCTCCTAAAACCAGGAGAAGCAGTCAATTTACCATAGAGTGAAAACAAATCAGAAAGCCACACAATGTAAGAAACTGATCAATGTATTTTCAACAAACATTATTCCATTCTTTAATTTATAAGAACATTGTCAAGGTAATTTAAAAAACAAAAAACAGTAAATCTTCAAGCATTATATATGTGTAAAAATAAATTTTATCCATTATTTAGAATTAAAATATTTTAACCAATAAAAGCTAACTGGTCAAACATAATTAGGCAGAAAATAATCTCATGCAGTGGTTAAATGCTTGGCTGCTAACTGAAAGGTCGGGGGTTCGAACCACTAGCTGCTCCGCAGAAGAAAGATGGAGCAGTCTCCCTCCATAAAGATTACAGCCTTGGAAACCCTACGAGCAGTTCTACTCTGTCCTACAGGGTCGCTATGAGTCAGAATCGACTCGACAGCACACAATAACAACAACCAGCTCATTTAAACATTCTTTTGATATTAAGGGGGAAATTCTCCAATAATAAAGACTAGTCCTCATTCATATGTTACACAAAGTTACAGAATCTAGGGTGTCACTGAGTAAAAAATTCTGACGGCTTCTCATACAATCACAGGTAGGTCATACAACAACGTAGAACTAAATGTCTATGTTGCATCCATAATCTTGGTCTTAGAGGTAAGCACTATTCCAAAGAAATACATTGTTAGTCTACTGTGTTAGTGAAAAATGTTGCACTTGTAGTGTATGGTTATGTGTTAATTAATGTACAGAGAAAAAGTTCAAGTACTTAATAATAAGAGATAAAAGATCTATTCCAAAACTGTTTTGCAATTCTGAGTATTTTCTAATTTTTTATTTATTCATTTATTCCTTCAAACAATATGTTTTGAGTGTCAAATATACGCTAGACACTATGCTGGCTAAGGCACAGAGCAGTGAATAAAACTCTAACTTCCTAAAGTTTACAATCTTTTTCACTCTTGTGAAGAATGTTTTTTTATTTGCTGAACAAAAAGGCAAATTTTACATACGTACCCATATAAATATAGTGGGGGAGTTAACTTTCATTTGAATGTTTCCTCCTAAAATTATTTCCTGTCATCCCTTGTGAAAAGTGAAGATATGCAGAGGTCTTGCAACACTTGGAATGAGGAATCACTAACTCAGAGAAAATCAGTTTCTAAGTAAATCTCTTGTGATTCAGCAAATCAAAAATACATGTTTCCATCATCTCTGACATGTAGACTAGTTGGTTAAAATCAACTGTGTCTCAGTTTTTTTTTTTAAATAGGAATAACTAAGAACAAGATGAGATTAAATAAGAACAAGAGAGGCCTAAGGGTTAATAAAAACAAAGGATTTGGCCCAAATTCATCTGAGAGGAGAAGCAAAGACAAAATAGAGTTGTATTGCAGAAAAACATGAAAATCCCTAAGACAACTCAGCAGAGAAATAACAGGCTCTCTCTCTCTTTTTTTTTTTTATATTTTATTGTACTTCAGGTGAAGGCTTACAGAACAAATAGTTTCTCATGAAACAGCAGTACACATGTTGTTTTCTGACATTGGTTAACA